TAAACCCTAAACCCTATTCTGACTATTACGGCCCCTAAACCCGAAACTGACCCAACTTCAGTCTTAGCAGTCGGGGGTTTAAGGGTCTAGGGTTTAGGGTTTAGGGGGTTTAGGGTTTAGGGGGTTTTGGGGTTTTGGGGTTTAGGGTTTGGGGTTTGGGTTTTGGGGTTCAGGGACTAGGGATACGGGTTTAGGGCTTTGGGGTCCAGGGTGGCATGCCGAGGCTAGATTGGGTTTCGGCTTTGCATGTTGCCCAAGCGCGAAGTCCTAAAGAGCTGCTCAAACTACTATAGGGGCCTTACATAAATAGAATAGGGTTCTTTTAAAGGGGGTTCCTTAAAAGGGATACTATAAGGGCTACTATAAAGTTTTAAGGTTCGATGTAGGGGCCTTAGTAATTAGAACCAGGTGTTGGGCCCCATTCTACTATAAGAATAAGGAACCCCCCCAAAATAGTATTGGTCCTTATTTAGGCGCCTATATTAAAACCCTGCTACATTGACATCAAGCATAAGGGTTCCTTTAAAGGGATCTGTAGGGAACCCCCAAACTAGTATATGTCATTCTTTAGGCCCCTACAAGAAGGCACGTTCTTGGTTCCCTGTCCCTGCGACCTTTCGAAATCCCCGAATATACCCTAAACCCTAAACCCTAAACCCTAAACCCTAAACCCTAAGCCTAAACCCCAAACCCTAGACCCTAAACCCTAATTAGCCATTTTGAGCAAGGCCTCTAAAGCTTAAGGTATCTTTCTCGGGCTTCGAGTTGTTTAAGGTCCGGGGTTGGGGGGATGGTGGGGGTTTCGGACCTTATAGGAATTACTATACTATATACCTCTAATATCAAACCCCAAAATAGTATTGCCCTAAGCCCTACACCCCCTCCTCAAACCCAGAAAACCAACATCCCAAACGCCGGAACCGAAACCAAAAAAGCTGAAATTACCTGGCCAGATCTTGAAGTTAGACCCCGAAGCCCTAAAACCCCACGGTACCCTAGGGGTTTTGGGTTTAGGGGTTCAGGGTTTAGGGGTTTAGGTTTTAGGGGTTTGGGGTTGTAGAGTAACCCTGTCGAGCCTCCATAGTAACCCTTTGGGGCTGAACTGTTGCCACGGAATTTCAAGCCGATGCTTGTAACAGAGGGTCCTAATTACCTCCATTAGGGTTTAGGGTTTAGGGTTTAGGGTTTAGGGTTTAGGGTTTTGCGGGTTCCCTATTATAAGTACACTATAAAGATTACCTCCATTCTTTTGGGGGTTCCTTATCATAATGATACTATAAAGTACACCAAAACCCTGTTCTAATTATTAAGGCCCCTATAGTAGACCTGTCTGGGGCGCTGGGCCTCAAACCGCCAATACCATGAGCCTTGAGCTAGGGATCAGAATTCAGGGCTAAGGTTTAGGGTTGAGGGCTTTAGGGCTTAGGGTCTAGGGTTCAGGGTTTAGGGCTTAGGGTTTAGGGCTTAGGGTTTTAGGGATTTAGGTTTAGGGATTTCTGGTTTAGGGTTTAGGGTTCCGAATCATAATTATACTATAAAGTGCACCAAAACCCTATTCTAATTCTTAAGGCCCCTATTCCGAACCTCAACTTCCTAAGGTTACCAGCGTTGCCTGGAACACCACGGGGGCCACCCTTGCCTGCGCCTTCGGCAAGCTCGATACGCTCGGGGCCCAATAAACCTTCTGCGAGTCTTCAGACTCGGGTTCTTGGGTTTATCCATAGGCCCCACACTAGTTCCTTTTTGTGGCTTCCCTAAACCCTAAACCCTAAACCCTAAACCCTAAACCCTAAACCTTAAACCCTAAACCCCAAACCCTAAACCCTAGGATCCTATTAAGTAATCCCAAAAAGGAACTACTGAGCGGCCTATGGGTAGGGTTTTGGCGTTTAGGGCTTCAGGGTGTAGATCATAGGTGTTTAGGGCTCTAGGGGGATAGGGTTTTGGAGTTTAGGGTTCTGGGGTTTAGGGTTTCGGTGTTTAGGGCTTTAGGGGGATAGGGTTTTGGAGTTTAGGGTTCTGGGGTTTAGGGTTTTGGAGTTTAGGGCTTTAGGGTTTAGGGTTTAGGGCTTTAGGGTTTTAGGGTTTTAGGGTTTAGGAGTTTAGGGCTTTAGGGTTGTCAGGGCTTTGGGTTTAGGGTTCTGGTTTTGGGTTTAGGAGTTTAGGGTTTTGAACATGATGGGCTTGGATGTCCGGATCTTCGAGGCTGGCAAGTAGCAGTCAGGCGTACGAGCAGGCGTAGAACCGAAGCCAGAAAAACCATGGATTGCTTCAAATTGTCGTGCAGCCGCGTGGTACGTCGGACACAAGTAGGTCGTGGAGGGAGAAAAATGTAGGCAGCTAGCCTTGCAACCCTAAACCCTAAACCCTAAGCCCTAAACCCTAAACCCTAAACCCTAAACCCTAAACCCTAAGCCTTAAGCCCTAAGCCCTAAACCCCAAGCCAGCCGGGTAGAACAACTTTGCCCAGGGGCTGAGGGCTTTCCGAGAAGAAGTTCAGAAGGAGGCTTTCGGGGGTAATGTAGGGGCCTACATGATTACCTTTCCTACTTTGGTGGTGTTCCTTACTATGATTATAATATAATATACAACCAAACTGAATAATTACCTATACTATTTTGGGGGGTTCCTTATTATAATTTCAGTATATTATAATTTCAGTATAATATACTCCAAAACCTTAGTCTAATGGTTTTAAGGTCCCTACCGTAGGCCTTCTAAACCCTACAGAATCCTAAACCTGCGGAACCCTTGACAGAACCGGCCGCGCGCCCTGATAAAAAGCCGACTTCGGAGGGCCTGGCAAAGTCGTTCTGAAGGCCCCAGTGGGTTTAGGGTTTAGGGTT